CCCTGCTTAGAGCAGGCCCAAGTAGATACGGTTGCCAGGGCCGTGTCCCGTTGGGTTTTGAATGCCTCCAAGGATGGAGAGTCTGTAACACTATTTTTGAGTTTGGTTTTTTTTTTGTGTGTGTGTGTTTGAGAATACAAAATTGGAATCCAGTTCATGCCCATCAAGTCCCTTATGACCTCCATCAGTTGACCCACTCGCATTTCCTTCCTTGAGCTTTTTTTTTTTACTTCAGGAATTTGATTCTGCAGTTTAACTGTGTTTCTGTTTTGACTAACCTTCTTTACAACTTCTCTACAGCTACACATTTCCAATTTCTTTTGTCATCAATTATTTTCCATTGTATACCAAACAAAAAAATCTCTCTTGCCTTTCTACTACATTTGTTTTGACACAGTTTGTATAAAAGAATATTTATATAAAAGAATAGTATAGAAACATAAGTAATGGTGTAGTGCAAGCTCCTGCAGAGATTATGTACACACTCATGCACTGCATTTGTATATTTTTACCACAGTTTGTAAATATATTAGTGGATAAATGGAGTGGAAAGCTTCTGGTGAGTTGTCTCTGTTTTTTGAAGGACAACTAAAATTTTATATCAGTCCTGACTATAAGCTGTTTCATGCCATTTACCTTATTTTGTGAGACTTCTGTCATTTAAAAAAACTATTTCTATGTTCCATGTATATCTGTAACTATGGAAACCATGAAGTGATTAAGAGGAGTACAGTTGATGCTTCTGTGGCTTATCAAGACAGCCAAATGTTCAAATAGTTAGACAAAACTTTTTTTTTGTTTTTAAGAAGGTTAGGAGACTATACAAAAGTTATCTATGAGAGACTGATTTCTAGTGTAGCTCAATGGTCTATGAAAAATGGAGATCGATGTTACAGCAAATGTGACTGGCAATTCACAACTCCTACATTATCAGAAATAAATTAAGTGAAGGAAATTCAGGCAAGAGAAATGAAGCTGAAAAAGAAACTCATCTATGAGGAAAGAGTGAGACCAAAGCAGAGCTTTCTGAAGCTGTGATTGTTGCTGGGGCTTAGAATTCTTCCGCTGCTGAGGAAATAAAAATACTGAGGGTGAAACTGGGTAGTGTGGACAAGATGAGTGAGGAATGAGTGAGCGTAACAATATGGAAAATGGATTTTAAATAGGGTAGGCTTAAATACAGGGCCATTGGGATATTTGGTATTGCTGAGTTTCAAAAAAAAGTGGTCTAAGGCTCATCATGATGACCTGTGGATAAATAAAGCCTGTACTGTCTGATGCTCTGTAAACTTTTCTTGAGGGTTTGCTTTCTTTCCAAAAAAGAAATTCTCAAGCCTGGGCAAATCAGCCCAAACAATTAGTACTTCCTGGGTCTCTTTTGATTATTTTTTTTTTTTTTTTTTTTTTAACCAGCCAGGATAAATTCTCATTGATTTTTAACCCCTCCTTTTTCCCTCCAAAGTCTAAGTTTGTAAATTTTGATCATTTTAGTTAGAAGTAGACCTAAAACTAGAGCTGCAAGGAAGTTCAGGTGCAAGGTTTCATAGTTTGTCCAAGCTATAGTCCTGCTTTAGAAGGTCACAACTGTCACAGTTACAGTACAATTTTTGTAGTGTGTTTTTAGTGGTGTGTATTAATCAATCGATTTGTGTAGTAGATTTAGAAAAAAACAAACTTGCAGGGGGAGAATATTTCAAATTACAGTATGTAAATTTGCTGGTGTGAATTTTCAGACAAAACCTGACTTCTCCACTAGCAATTTTGGTTTCTTCCTTGAAGTCCGAAGGCTTTCTCAGAGAAGTACATTGCAATAGTGACTGAAACCTGGCTGTGTGCTGTTTTAGAGATATTATTTCATATGGTAACTTTATAGTTGCCTGAATATACCACTTCCAACACTCAGTTTGCTGCAGGATTATTCTAGAGAATGTTTAATTTTTGTGGAAGTTGTTGGGAGCTTTCTGAAAGATTGGCAGCTGTAGCTGAGAGATTTTGGCAGCAGGGTGTGTGAAGAAAGTTGGTTGTTTTTTATTTTTTTTCTTAAAATAACTAGTAACGCTGTTGCTAGCGGCAGTGTCAACAAAACTGGCATAAAATACCCTTTTGATGTTAACTCCTTGAATCATTGCTCCACTGCACCTTTTCTGCATCCTTCTATTGGCAGTTTGTAATTGTGGGTTTAGAAACTTAGACCAGGAATAAGATTAGGATCAATGTGTAAACTGTGTGTTCAGTTGCCTAAAAGCAGGCATCTGATGCCTTTTTTGATGCCCTGCAGTACATAAGACATGTACATACGGCTGGCAGTTGTGATGTAGCTCCTGTCGCAGGCTTGTGCCCTCTTAAGTGCCACGTGGCATCCAGGTGGGATACGCTGACTTATGTCTAATGGCACTAGCCTTTCACTAGGCAGAGGATTTCATTTTATGTTGTTGTGTCTGCTTGAAAGCGAGTGGATTCTCTTTGGATGCAAACTTAAATACCTGCCATGCCTATAGTCTATAGTGTAGACAGGAAAAATTTAAGCGTCTTTCATCCTTATTTGTACACATAGGATCGGATTTGGAAAGCTAACATCTCAGTTAACTATAAAAGGCGAGCAGGAAAAGAGTATGAAGTGGGCTTTCTAGTGCAAGTGGAAAATTCTGATAAGGCGGGCTTTTAAACATCCCTCCTGGATGCTCTCAGTCAAACATGTAAATGGCACCGCAGACTTGAAGGTGACATGCAGTTCTGTGAGCAGTGGGGCCTCGTTCCCTATGAGCATGTCTTGCGGTTGAACTGCTATGTAGATTCTGTGATGCCAATAAAAGATTGCACTGATGAGATATTTATAGGGCTTTTATGGAACTATTTTATGAAACTTTTAAGGATATAATCCCTTGAAAACTTCCATGCCTGTGCAAAATTTTACTGCATTTGTCCAGTGGGTTAAAACATTTATTGGAGGGTGTGGGGAGAAAGGGGGAGAAGAAACCAATCAGCTGTCAGCATAAACCTCATTTTCTTGCCAAACTGGGATAAAAATATCAAGCTGACAACCTAAGTTATGAAGAAAATCTGCTCTGCACAGGAATGGAAGAACAGAGAGTGCTAAAATGGCTTTAATATCCCAGTCCTGAAATGGCTGAGCCTTGTATGTCTGATGAGCATCAGCGTGGGCAAAGTGGTCCTCTCCCTGCTTAGAGGAGAGAACGGTAAAGAACTGTACTGTCCCTTTGAACCCTCAAGCTAGAGGAGAGGCTTCAGAAAAAGCAGAACCTAGAATTCTAGGCAACTTCTTTACTAACAAATTAAACCCAGTCTGGGACTATTGCTAGATGTTAGAGTACCTGTGCTAGTAAACTGACAGAAGGCTGCTTGGCATGCTCTTGGTCTTCTGCCCACTAGCACCTTCTCATCAATTCTTCCTGGTGGTTTGGGAGTTGGGGTGCTCTGAGGCTCGCCTCCAGGAGGCAATTTGTATGCAGCCACCTTGCTTTGAAGTAGAGCAGAGATCTTAGCATAGATACAGGTTGTTTCATGTCATTGGGCTTCATTGCTCAAAAACATTCCTGTGCGAGTTTAATGTACTACTGTTGGTGTCATTTCAAGACGTAGTTTAACAGGAGATGGTGAGCCACTGCCATAGAGAAAACATCCTCTCCCCCCATTTGCCTCTGTTCCTGGCCACATGATTTCACTCCTCATCATACCCCTCCATGAGAAAAATAGATATGACAAAAAAATGAAACCAATTAAAAAATACAGATAATTTTCTACTATGTTTTTAAATGCAAGTGGCTCCTGGAAGGAGAAGATACGAGGGAGTATGTAGTATGGGGAAGGTGGGAGTGAGGAAGGGAGAGGACAAACCCTGACAGGGAGAACGAAGAGCAAGAGAGAAGGGAGGTGGGGAGAAGACCTTCCCTTTTGGTGACTGGGAGCCATTGGATGAACTCAGCTGTCTGTACAATTTTGAAAAATACATTTAATGAAAGCTTGGATTCACAAGAACATTTTCATTAGAAAGGTAGAGCTGTTTACTTATTTAGATTTTGGGCTAATGTGAGGATTCAAGTAGATTTTCACCTTCATTTATTCATATTTTAATGGAGTGAAGCCACCATGACACTTTAGCTAGGGTTTTATTACAGAATTCATTTTGATATACCAAAAGAGATAAATGCAATGCTGTATGCTAATTTCATGGTTTGCTGCATGTTTTTATGTTTTCCAAGAAACATTAAGTGATACACAGTCTAACAATTCTGTGAATGAATAGTTTTGTAAGAGCAAATTGATAACATTTCTTCCCTCTGACTTTCAAGAGATGACTTGTAGGATGGTGGAAGAGCTCTGCTGAAGTTAATGGTGCCTGAGGCAGAGAAGATGGTCTGCCTAATGGGATCTCTCTGAAATAATTAGTGTCTTCTAGAAGTGTGTAGAAGGTGGAGGCTAAAGGAATGTTAACAAAAGCAATAAACTGGAAAGATGTTGTGTATACACCCTTCAGAAGGGAAATAATTGACATAGCATGAAGGTTTAGTAAGGAATAGCTTGTGGCCTGCTGTATTAGCACACTCGTTACCTAATTTGCTGTACAGAGATGAAGCAGGATGCATGGGGGTCACTGTAACTGTGGGTTTGCAATTTCTGAACTCATGAAGCATGGAGTGTGCTCCTTGTGGAGCCTCCTCAGAATCCGGGCTTGGGTGAAGGATTTGGGGAACTTGCTCTGACCTCAGCCTGAGTTTTGCCTGGCATGTGTCACACAAATTTGGTATAGTGTTTGAGTCCCCCCTAATGTGACTTCAGCTTCCCAGTGCATGTTTGGAAGTCTCCAGGTTTGAATTGGGAAAAAAGCCTTTTTTCTGCATCCTAAAATGCAGTTTTGAAATATGTAATTATGAAGATGTGTTCTTATTTTTGTAACTGAAAATGCTTTTTTTCTCTGTGTGTATAGTTGTATGTATTATTTACTATGGGCTCTTTCAAGTTGGAATTTCATGTTGTGTTAGTACAGGAATACTGTTCCTACTCATTGTGGATCACATTCAACAGTACCTGTAAGAGTAAGTTTGAGGAATATTTTTTCTGTGAATGAAATACCCTGTATTCCACGTGAAGGCAAGCATGGGATCCTTCTAGCATGTTTACACGCAACCTGTCAAGTTTCCACGTGAATCTGTGTGGGAACTGTTGACCCACCTATGCTGAGTCCTGTATGTGCCACTTTGTTTTTGTTATGTAGCAGTAAAGCCCAGAACCCTTTGCTATGCTGTGAAAATGCACATTTTTCCAGAGCCACGCATATGAACCCTTTGAATGAGGAGCACCCCTTTACTGGTTCTCTTTAATAGCTTCATGTGCGGATATGCATTGACCTGTGCAAGGATGCAATAAACCAGAAACAAACCCAACAACAAACACCAGACTCTGGATGTCTTGAATGACTTACTGTAGCACTGCATCAGAGCTCACCATCCAGAAAAGCGTAAACAGAAACTATTTTTGAAGTGACAGGCCATAGTAAAATTGTCTAACACTTCATTTTACTGCTGCATCATGTGGAGGTCCAGAAGCCACATTAGAGAACTGTAATCCTTCATCAGAGCATTTGTTTGGTTGCCTAACATCTGTGGATTGTTAAGATAAGTTATTACACAGACCTGCTTTACTTTAGATTAGTTTGGAACACGTCCCAGTATATTCAATCAGGATATAATTCCTGCATGCTGCTAAATTGCTTGCTCCACATACTTCTCTAAAAATGTTTTTCAATATACAGTTTTGTCACTGAAACTCTTCTGTCACCTCGAGTTTTGTTTGTTTTGTTCGTTTTTTTTTTCCTCTTAAAGAAAAGCTTTTATTATTTTTCCTTTTTGGACTGAATATATCTCAAGGCAAATGTAGCATTTATTAAGTCCTGAAGAGATTCCTAAAGAGGGATGATAGTGTAGCCTCTATGTGAGTATAATGCAGATTTCCTGCATGTGTAATCTTTGGTGATTGGTATGTATTGTGTCCAAACTGCCGTGTTTAAAGACAGCTGTAAGAAAATGACTTTGAATTTACAGGTCTAGTATTTCTTCTTCCTGTATTCTGTATTTTTCTGTGTCTATTTGTGCATTAGCTATTCCTGTTTGTTTGGATCTCATAATACTTCGCATAAAATTAATTACAATATCAAAGATGATTATGTAAGTTAATGGTAATTTCTTGAAGTTTATTGCATATTTGACCATTTAAAATATGTATAAAGTATATTAAATTGTAAATGAAGTGTGTAAAGATGGTAACAGATTTAAATCGGCTTGTATACATATACACATATGTAATTTAATTAGAATATTTAAATTTTACTTTAGTATTCCTTTTCCTTCCTTTAAACAAACTCTAGTTGATTTATTTCTTTATTAACCCTTTTTTCAACTTTCCCTGTAACCTGATAAAATGCAGGCAATGACATATTTTTCATTAATGATTGGTTTATGGCATTGACATAGATTTTTATACACAGACACATGTGCATGCACATACTTGCTGTCTAATGAGCTAACAGTTGTGTCAGAGTCTATAAAGACATTTAAAAATGTGGTGTTTTTTCCTTTTAGTCTTGCTGGTTTTTTAAATAGTTGTAATAATACCAGATAGACTAAAACTCTATCCTATTAGTACAGATAGTCTGATAAACTGAATCTCTGTTTTCTGAGGTATACTAGATGAAAGAAATAAGACATTTTGGAATCAAAGGATTTTTCTGTTGAAGGACTAGCATTTATTTTGTCAAAGTTGCTGTTCCTGTTGTCCTGCTGAGGGTTATCTGTTTTTATCATAATACATGTTTGTGCCACTGTTGGAATAAGTGTAGGTTTTTTCTTTTTTTTTTTAATTAAATAAAATTTTAATAGGCATTATCCTTCTTAAATGGAAGAAATATAACAGTCATCTTTTGATAAAGGCACAATCCAGATACAGGGAAAAGTTGGATGTCTTCTCAGCGTAGTTTGGTCAAACAATGCAGAAATGGTATTGGAAGTTTTGATGTAGTCTTCAGACCTAAGCAGATAGTCTATTCTAGGGTGTTTTAAATAAATCTTAATTACGTTAAATATGTAAAATGCCTAAAATTTTCATCATGCCGTGTAAGCCATGCACTTCCTCCCCAGGCTAGAGAATAAGAGAGCTCGGTACCAGAGCTTTGTCCTGTTGCAATTTCTGCCCTGAAGTGATTGTTTTTTCTGTTCATTCTAATTTTAAGTATTGTATAATTTTGCAACTGTTGCATCATTCCTGTGTTTACACAAAATAATTTAAGCATATTTTTCATTCCAACTTCTGTCATCCTTCTTACCTTCTCTACAATTTTACCCATTCTTTTACTTCTTTCCACATTAAACTGCAAGATTTTCCTTACCATTTTCCTTGTTAGCTGTCAACTTTGTTTCCTCTCATCTCTATTTTTATTTCTGACAAAACTCCTACCTCTTGTATATTCTTCATGCATTTTTGCCTTTTTTGTTCTTCTGCCCCAAACCTCCTTTTGTCTTTGTCTCAATCTTTTCTTAAATGTTCACACATTTTAGAGTCCTGATTAACCTTTTATTTTTCTCTGGTGATTTACTCCTGGACATAAGACTGTCTTGTACTGTATAGACTTGAAACATGGAGTCTCACTTTACTGTGTCTACTCCTGTTTACCTGTGTATCTGGAATTAAAAAAACAAAACAAAAAACAAAAAACCTAAGAAGCACCGTTTATGTACACAGCTTAATTGTGATTGCAAGGGACACATGTTTGTTTTATTTATTATTTACAGCTATAACTCAAAGAGATGGTAAATGATCATTTTCAAGTAGTACAAAATATGGTTCTTTTGCATTCTTTTCATTGGTGCATTTAGTTCTCTATTAGTAGGTTTCTTTAGGTCTTACCTTGAATCTCTGGTAAGTAGCTGTTGTGGATATAGCTAAAACCATGCACAGTAAATGCTGAATTTATTTGCAGGATAATGTTGAGTTATGTTACGTGAGGAAAAATTAATTAAAGGGAAATACCCTGTCAGTTTTCTGTGGTGGCAGAGGTTGGGAGTTAGCTGGGCAGGACTCTGCCACCCAAGGTACAAGTCCAGTTTACAGTCTGGTAGGCTTGTCCTGACAGTGATCCACACCAAGGAGAACAGCCCAACCCACCCCCCAGCTGCATCAACACATCGGTGTTAATTCAGAAGCAAGCTAGGGCTGGGCTGGGGGGGCATTGCTACAGGTAGGACTGACGTGTATCGGCAGCACGTTTTGGAGAAGCTCACATAGCATGTGCCTGTAGGATGCTTGGCTCTAGCCAGTGCAGTCAGTGCTTGGAGAAGCATGTTCTGGGTCGTGTCATGAGCACCAACCTTGCCAGTTTAGAGGAGAGTGAGAGATTGTACCTGCTCTGTGATAGTGAGCATGCATTTCAGGGTCTGAAGGGTAGCTGCACTGACACTTCTTGTTGTCTTCAACTAGGTTATGTGGGTATGCAATTTGTGTCGAAAGCAACAAGAAATCCTAACGAAATCTGGAGCGTGGTTTTTTGGAAGTGGACCGCAGCCCTCGCCCAGCCAGGACGGAGCACTGAGTGATACGGCCACTGGTGGAAGCTCGGATGCACTGAGAGAAAAGAAAGCGAGACTTCAAGAGCGATCGAGATCACAGACTCCCTTAAGTACAGCAACTGCCTCATCACAGGAAATCTCTTCTTCCAGTGTCCAGCCCGACCGTAGGAAAGGAGCAGAAGTATCACAGCCAGCTATGGGCCTGGACCAAAAGCAAGTTTCATCAAGGTCTAGAAGTGAACCTCCAAGAGAGAGGTAATGCTTTCTCTCTTGTTAGAGCCTCACAATTATAAATGCTAGTTCAGTAATATTACACAAGGCTGTCAGCTGGGCCCTGTGTGTGTCTAGAACTGTATAAAAACAAAGAGTTGATTTACTGACCAGGGAAGCATAAATGTTCATTAGAAAATACGTTGGCTGATTTGGTCTGTGCAACAGAAATGAGGAAAAAAAATAATAATTGTATTTTAGGGGTATTTCCATGTACTTCAATGCATTTTGGTGTACGCTTTTAATATAGAATTGTAGGTAACTTTTAAAATTGGCAGGTATTTTAAAGTTATTAAACAAAGAGCAAGCCTTTAACTTCATGAAATAATGTACTAGAATTGAACCCCCCCCCCCCCCCAAACCCCCAAACCCCAAACAAACAAAAAACCCACCCTGTGGAGTTCTGTCAGATATCCTTATGTGTTATCTTTTTATCAATGATTGTATTATTTTTAATAATAAACCAGGAACTATTAAAAACTCATTTACACCTGCAAAGTAAACATTCATGAAGAACAGCAATAGTACCATCTTGAATTCAGAGCAAGCTGTATGCAAGAATAAAGCCAACCAGAAGCACACTATTATATTTTAAGTGAGGAAATGAGTAAATTTCTGAGCTGTAGTCATTGTAATGAACAGGTTGAGGAGTAGCAGATCAAGAGAGGCTAATGTGATGAAGCGGTTGCTGTTCTTTTGGCTGCTGCCTGGCAGATGGCAGAGTACTTGAGGAGGGAGCCTGTGGCAACAAAACGAGAGTCTGCCATAGAACATTTTCCCTTGGCCAGAACAGTTGATGAGGTTTTTTTTTTTCATAGCTATTGAAGTTGAAAATGGATAATGAGCAGTGGCTAGTAACTTACTGTGTGGGTGAGGTCTGTCTGGGTTTAACTGTACCAAAACTCAGGTTAGTGTTATGTATATGTATGATGTAAATGAACACATGGTGCCCTCCCCTAATTCTGTTGACTTTTTTCCCCCAACACTGGGAAGGCCCCCAGAGCAGTCATCACTCAGCTGAAGGACACTTTTAGAGCAGCAAAATGCTTTCTAGTTCTGCTTTGCTGTCCAAAAGTGAGATGGTTGTATTAATTATACAATAGTAATGTTCTCTACTTGTCACTGAGACTTTCAAATGAAGTCCAAGGGTTCTAAATAGAGAGCATCTATGGTAAACTCAGGTCTCATTTATTGCCAAAAACTCAGGAGGAACAAGAGATGGAGAAAAAGGAGACAGGAGCTCAACTTGGATCATATCCAACTTTGCCTGTCCTGTTGGATGCATCTGTGAAAATCTGTGATGTGTAATCTGAAGACTTATCAGTTCTGGAAGGGAAGATTCACTGCCACAAAACAAAGTCCTAGTGACTTCGTCCTGGTGCAGGTTCATCTCAAATACAGTGTATAGCTGTGTTCAACCTTCTTCAAAATTGATGGGTTCATATGTGAACTGGTAAACAAAAGGGCAGTTGGAATGATGAGAGAAATAAAAATATCTGGTATAAGGGGATTTTATGATTCTTTGGCTTGCTTATTCTCCCAAAGCAGAAGATGAAAGAGGAGAGAGCATAATTTTCATGCAGCTTCATTATTCATTGTTTTGTACTTCAGCTGTATAGAGAAATAAATTTCATTTTTCATCCCCTTTTATTACCAGAGAAGGGAATGCCATTAAATTATCTCAAGGAGTCTATTTTCTTTTCTTTATGTACTTATGAAATGGGCACTTCTTTTTAGAGTTTTAATAAGATAAAGCAAACTACATCAAATATTATTGGTTTTGGATATATTCTCTTTTGCATTTTTTTTATATCCATATTCCTTCTTTCTGTAATGTTATTGTGGGAGATACGCCATTTGGTAGTGTTTATATCTGTACTGTCAGGGTGCTTGAAGTGAATTGTGTGGTTAGTCTGTAACCCTTCTAACGGCTGCCAGAAAAATGGAGAACATGCTCCAATACTCTGTCATAGTGCTGCAGTTACTACAAAGATGGCTTTGAGTCTTCCTACTTACGTGGGTAAATTCTTTTTATCTGCATTTATCCATGTTAATATTCTTGTGATTTTACTGAATTGGACCATCTGTAATTTGTGTTTTTGTGGACTTAGGAAGCTGTTTGCTGTTGGAAAATAAAAGTACTGCTGAAAGGATTAATAGACTTAATTCATGTTAATGGATCCAGTACCTTTCTATATGTTTTGCCATAGCTTATCCTGGTTTATAATCTATTTACCATAACAGTGTACACAAGTATTTTTATTTTGCATTCAATTCTTCAAGTTATTGTACTCCTTTTTATTGTAGGAAGAAGGCAATGTTGGTTTCAGACCAGAATGGCAAAGGTTTAAAGAGTGAGCGTAAGCGTATGCCAAAAACCTCACTTCAAAAAGAAGGACCAGCAGATGACAGGGAGCGTAAGGAACGGCACGAAGGTAGAAGGCTGGAGAAAGGCAAGTCACAGGACTACCCAGACTTGCCAGAGAAACTTGAGGAGGGCAAAGTGCCTGATGATGAAAAACAAAGGAAGGAAGATGAATATCATACCCGTTACAGGAGTGACCCCAATCTGGCAAGATATCCTGTAAAACCACATCCTGAGGAACAGCAGATGCGCATGCACGCGAAAGTTTCTAAAGCACGGCATGAGAGAAGGCACAGTGATGTAGCTTTGCCACATACAGAAATGGAGGAAGCGGAGGTACCTGAGAATAAATTAGGAAAACGCTCACAATTACAGGGAACTCAGGACAGAAAATCTCTTGTGGAAACTCAGAGGTCGTACTCTATAGACAGAACAGGTGATGTAAGAATTTCTGTTTCTAAACAATTAACTAATCATAGCCCACCAACTCCCAGGCATAGTCCAGTTCCTATAGAACACGTAGAGTACAAGAACCACGATTCCTTTAAAAAACAGAGCCGCCTTGATCCTAGCTCTGCTATTCTCATGCGAAAAGCAAAGCGGGAGAAAATGGAGACCATGCTAAGGAATGATTCCCTTAGCTCTGACCAGTCGGAATCAGTGCGGCCATCCCCTCCAAAGCCTCATAGAGCAAAAAGAGGCGGAAAGAAAAGGCAGATGTCAGTTAGTAGCTCAGAGGAAGAAGGGGCATCAACACCAGAATATACTAGCTGTGAAGATGTGGAGATAGAAAGTGAAAGTGTCAGTGAAAAAGGTAAGGACCTTTATGTATATTATGCACATGGCCATGGTTTGGGGGAAAAAAAAAATCTGTATTTTTCTCTCTCTTTTGCCTCTTTTTTTTTTTTTTTTTTTAAAACATACCCCTTTGTTTTTCCCCTTACCTTTCTTCCCCCCCCCCCGAGAAGTGTCTTATACCTGTTTACTCTTGGTTTGCAATGTTTCCTTTTGAATTCTAGATGAGCTGCTTACAGGTAGCATCAGCTCATGAGTTTCTTTCTCATTCTCTTCCCTCTTTCATCTAGAAATGACAGAACTGACAGAATTTAAGGGTTCTAGATTATTCTCTCGATGATATCTGTACTCCTTGGTCATTGCTTCATCCTTTTGTCTGCATGCAGAATAATTTTCTGTGAATGAATTGAAATGGAAAGTGAGTTCTGTAACAATCTGAGAAAACCATTATAAAGCATCATAATCTTACTGACACCTCAGTCTTAAGATATGCAAAATTTTACCTCATTTAATAAAATATCAAGGATCTGCCAGAGTTGTCAACAAGGACAGGATATGGGGCAAGGGGAGTGTTATATAGGAAAGAAATGAGAATTGCCTAACTTGTTGTCTAGATGAATTCGCTCCCAAGCTTACAAGTATGTTTAAAGTCTGTTATTTCAGTTTGTCTTCATCTGTTCATGGTAACACTCAACAGTAAGGAATAAGTGTCATACACTGTGTGCTTTTAAACAAAGCCTTTCTTGTGGCTGAGGAAGCTAATCATATTCATGAATGGTGAATAGATAAAATACACATTGTCAGAAAAGACTAGGGTAGAATGTACCAACTGTCTTAGAACCCTAATTTGTCTTTAAGTGACACTACAGTGAACTGAAGGCTTTTTGTGTCTTTGGAAGTAGCGTTTAGCTCTTTAGTTTAATTATCTGTGTTTGTAACTTGAAAGTTTTCTGCCGGTGTTCATACTCAAAATGCCAACAGCTTGTCTGCATCATCTTTTAGTTCCTGGCGCTGATTCCTGACGTGTCTGATTCATATACGCTAACCTGTCTATCTGTCTTTATCTGATGTTGTGGTCTCCTGACACCCCCTAGATCTCCAGATATACATATAAGAGGAAACAACATTTCTCTTCTATCCCATCTGAATGGCTACTTGTTTTAGCTTTCTGAGCATGAACTTTTCTATTCAAAATATGGAACCTTGCTTTTCTGCTCATTTTTAAAGAGGCATGATTATCATGCCCCTGAAATCTTAATCCAGATTCCACTTAGACATAAAACCCCTCACTTTTTTGACTGTGGGGGTTGTCAAGCACTGGAACAACTGCACAGAGACATTGTACAGTCTCCATCCTTGGAGGTGCTCAAAACTCAAATGGAGAAGGCCCTGAGCAATCTGCTCTAGCTGACCCTGCTTTTGAGGAAGGGGGTTTGAACTAGACACCTACAGAGGTCCCTTCCAGTCTCAACTAGTCTTTCTAAGAGGACATGTCTCTTTCCCTTGTTTTGTGGCAATGTTTTATGCTGACATTTGGGTTTGTGTAATTTTCTCTGACTTCCTCTGTTGGTAGTAGCAGTCTCTAATATAGCATTTCCTTTCCATCTTTGTTTTTTGCTTTTGTTTTATTTACATCAATTTGAGGTTGCTTATGAAGTAGAAAGGACTTCCCATATTCAGTAAGGGGTATCGTTATAAACTGGAAGATCGTTGATGTGAAAGTCAAGTCCAGGCTGAAAGTCATTGATACTGGTATCAATGTGTTGATATAGTTTGCTCTATAGTGGTCCTTTGTAAGTAAAACCTTTCAATAGTTGCTTTCAGGCTCATGACACTGATCTCAGCTTTTGACCAATTTCCTGTTGTATTGTTAAACCACTAAGGGTTGGACTTTTTTCCTTCAGTGTTATACCAGAGGATTTCAAATGTTGCTAACTGCTTATGTTCTCAATAACTGAATCAAGTTCTTGGGTACCTCTGAGACAGATATTTAGACTCATCCTTTAGACAGTGGAGGCCTTGGTCTCTATTATATCAGAGTGCTACCTCACTTTATTTGAATAAAAACTATAAATAGGAATATGTTAGGGTCCTGTCTGACTGCTGCCAACTCAATACTTGGTTAACATTGTTGAGCATTACTTGAGACCTTATTTCTACTTGTCAGTAAGCTAGCACTGTGTTATTAATCAGAATATATATATATATATGTGTGTGTGTATATATATGTATATATATGTGTGTGTATGCAAAACATTAATTACAGACATATATTTATTAATTAAATAGCTGTGAGATGTAGCTGTTAATGTTTTTTTGCTTGATCTTGATACGACTTTTGCAATCCTTGTCATGGGAAAAGAATTGGAAAGCCTTTGAAGCTGGGGCTATATTACAGAAAAAGAGCTAAGAAATGTGAATACAAATGAGAAAGCAGAAACATTTTTGGTAGTAAAATATCCAATTATTTTTAGAATTAAATTTTCGTCAGTACTTGAAAAAATCTGCACTATTTCAAAAGGGTAGATGGAAAGGCAGGAAATTTTATTGCCTAAGAAAATCTTTTAAAAATCCTTCGATATTTCAAAAGAAAAAAATGCCATAGTAAAAGGGCATAGTGTTGAAACAATTGATAAAAATAATTAAAAAATGCCCCTGTTGTAACCGAGGTCAGAATCCCATTCATTGCGATGTAGCACCATTGTTACAAACAGAGTTGCACCCACCATTCCTTCAGTGCTTTACTTGTAATTTGGGAGAGATACTGCACAGGTCCCTAGTTGTAGTGATTCAGTTTATAAGCCCAGGAGGGTCTGGAATCCATCCTGTCTTATCTAAATATCAGCTCAGTTGGAAATCTGGTGCCAAAGTAGAGCTAGAAAGATAGAATTATTGCAAGTAAAGTTTTTAACTTTGAACACCGTTACCAAGAAAAACCAATATCATAAAATTAATGTTCACATTTGGTGAGTGCCAATATAAAGCAAATGGCAACTGAGTAATAAAGATGTACTATTTTCAGTTCTATATTAAACAACTAAAATAGAAGTTTTCTATAGAAAACAGCTTACAGAGATGTTTAAAAGAAAATGATGTCCCATAGAAACGTAAGTTATAGGTAGGATAGATAAGACTGTATTGAAAATCAATAGCCCAAAATGACATATAAAGTAGATACTGTGCAAAAGTTACTTTTTAACATTTGCATTTCATAGAAATACTGTTTAGGATTGCATTACCCTGTCTTCTGAGCACAAAAAACCTTCTAAAAGTGATATTCATAAATACAAAGCAAGCTAATTTAGGTAGTACATCCCCTGCTATTTAATGTAACTGTTGAATATGTATTTCTTCAAAATTATGAACAAAATAATTCACAAGCACTGGAGATACTTTCTTTCAAAAAAATAAATGTCTTTTGCAGTCCACTGGGATTTTGCCTCTTTGGTGGAGGACCCAAGGATTTATGTTGAGTTGTTTCCATGTTGGAGTAAATCTAGGGAAAGAACTGTTTAGTGGTGTCCAAAAAGGTAATCTCAAATTTCTTTTTAAAAAAAAGCTACACCCTTTACAGGACACTATTACTGATTGCTGATAGTAATTTTCATCCTGTTATTAATACAGGCTGTAGGACTCCTTATTCTGAAATGGGTAATAGTTGAACATTAGGTGGATTGAGTTTCCAGTGACAACACTGTCCTGGCAAGGCAAAAGGAGTCCTCTTAGAAGGCATAAATTGCATTCATACTTGCTTCAAAGACTTGCTAGAATAACATAAACCAGACTATTACAAATGAAATCCAGACCTCATTTTAAAACTGAAAACAGCTTCTGCCTACTGCCATCCAATGAAGAACGCAAATTAGATTTGGAGTAAGTTTGAGAAAAAATGTTTTCTTTAAAGTTTAAAATGAAGAACTTGCACAGAACTAGTAGATTTGTGTCCAGATGAGGTTGTATGTAACTTCTTTGATCCCGTGATAGATACAAGAGCTATTCTAGGCGTCTGTCATGCAGTCCGAAACTGGAAGATAAAATAGTGTTGGAAATCGGAATGATGTGAGGAGGTACTGAAAGCTGCTCATGTACTTTTATGTAAACAGATGAGTTAATGGTTTCACATTTTGCTTACTCATTGTTCATATTTGCCTAAATGTGTATTTTGTTCACACTGCTTAGGCTTGAAAATATGTCTGATACTTGCATATTGTTAGCAAAATGGTAAAAAGCTAAGTAAAACTCACTTTGTATACTTGCTAATGGATTTAATTGGGAGTGAGGAGAGCATGGTGGAGTTGGAGCCTTGTTTGAAAAAACCTCCTGAGGTGACATTCTGATTTCTTTCAGTGAAGACATGATTGTTTAATTCATAATGCCTTTCTTACAGGACAGAACAACCTGGTTTCATTCTTATGACATTACCCTTCTCGTTAGAAAGTGTTAGGGGCAGGGATCTTGTTGGGATCTTGGTGTATGTGCAGGTGTGAAGCAGGGGGGGTGTAGTGACCAGGAGGAGTAGACCTGGGGGTCAGCAGGAGAAAGGGATGCTGTGGTTTGCAGACGAATGTGGCGGTGCTGGCCCAGCTCCAGGAGGAGAGGATCCCACCCCTTCCTCCATCCTCCTCTGGTGTCTCCTGTGCCACTTTGGGTGCTCATGCTTGAGGGTGCTTCCAGGGGAAGGAGAGCATAAATTAAATCCCTGCCCCGGTGATGTCTTCCAAGTGCTAGAGCATTGCTGGCAAGGAAGGTACCTTTTGGGCTAAGAGACAAACCACATGTGTGCGGTAGTGTGTATAAATGGACCAAAAGAAAACATCAGGAGAAGGCTATAGGAAAGAGGAGGCTGGTTTTAAATGGTTTTAGCTAAGTGTTTTCACTGAGGTATTTTAAATGTGGAGTGTAGGCAAGTCAAGTTGTACTGCAACATCTGCTAGCATATTTTAACATCTGTTTGTGTGGAGAGTTGGGCATGGAGTTTTAAAAAGAGCTGAATTTGTTTAAAAATGTGGCAGAGCTTTA